GTTGGTGCACAGACTAACAGTGGCCAATTGTAGCCACTTGATTAATAATTTCGGTCACCAATGGATGCATACAGTGTCACAGAGAAAGTGAAAAAGCCTGCGAAGTTTAATGACACAAACGTTCAAAGGTGCCAAAGGCTTGGTTGATAACGTGTGACTACTAGCAAGCTCAGGATATGCGCAGAGGTGCATGAAGCCTAAGACCACACATTGCTACCAAGCAGTGGTGTTAAATGTTAGACAAACCGCAGATGGCGGCGCTAGGAGAGAGCCACGTTGGCGAAATTTAGCCATTCATTGAAGACCTCTGGTCACTACTGATAACTTACAAAACCCCACAGAACAACTCGATGAAGCAGCAAAGGTAAGTTGTACAAATATACCAGCCGACTAAAGGTTGCTAATACAACAGGTGTATCCCAGCAATCTCCGGAGATACGCAGAGATGCGGGCAACCTACCATTACTCACAGCAGTTATACGGAGGAGGCAGAGATTGGGAAAGCAACAAGTGTTGGCACTAGGGAAGAGAGTACCGGTGGCTAGCAATGGCTTTCGGATTAAGCTTTCAGTTACTGGCGAATACCTATGACGTCAAAGAATAAGTCACCGAAAAAGCTGTGTGATGCAAACCGTCCAAGCGAAGGAAGGTTGGAGCTAAAGAGCAGCTCTTAGCATGCTCTAAATATGCGCTGATGCATGTAGCCTACGACACATCGTAGCAGCCATCCTGAGGTGTCGAACGTAGGACAAGCAATAGATAGTAGACAGTAGCAGTGGCCAGATGTTATCCTTCCATCAAGATGGTTGGGCAATGATGCATATATAAAGTGTCAAAAAAATCAAAGAACGAGCGAAGGTTAGTTACACAGACATTAAACTGGTTGGATGGTCAATGGGTCTCTACTCCCAAGCTATAAAAATGCATGGTGCCTACGACGATTAGCTGCTGTCGCCCAAGGCACTAGGCGAGAGAGATTAGTGGAAAGCAATGGTATTTGGTTACGGCTGTTAGGTACCGGCAAATACTTACCGCGTCACAAAACAAGTCACTAAATTAGTTGGATTGTACTGCAAACCGTCCAAGGGAATAACGTTTTAAGTGTTATGACTCCTAGCAGGCTCCGGATATCGGCAGAGATACATGGAGCCTAGGGCGACTCGCTGCTGCTTAACAGCAATATTAGTGTGAGCAACTGGGCAGGTGTAGCTATCCGATTATGACTTTTGATCACTAGTGGGTAATTACAATGTCAACGAAACAGACAACAAATCACCTGCATTGTGAAGGAAACAGTCTAACGGAATACAGATTGGATTATACGAGTATCTAATAGCAAGCCACGGACATGCGCTGAAGTGCATGCAGCCTGCGATGGCTGCCGGCTATAAAAAGGTGGTGACTTAGGTACGACGAAGTACAACTAAGTGCACTTAAACGGTTGGTATTAGCGAACAGTGCTGGCGTTTAAATTAAGCCTTCTAGTTCCTGGTGGATACCAGCAGTGTCAAAGAAAAGAAACAACCAAGCCGCAAAAGTTTGCGATGCAAACAACCCAAGGGAATAAAGTTGGAGAGCTAATAATTGGCTCACAGCAAGCTCAAGATATGCGCAGAGAGGCATGGAGCCAAGGACGACCAGCCATGAAAAAATGGGGAAAAGTGTAAGTCGAACAATAGATAACGGAGCTAGGAGAGTGATATTTGTGGCAATCAATGACATTCTGTTAAGGCTGTTCGGTGCTAGTGCATACCTATGGCGGCAGAGAATAAGTCGCTAAAGCAGCAGTATGTGAGGCAAACGTTCCAAGAGAAAAAGGTTGGCGGTAAAAGGTAACTACTAGCAAGCTCCAGATGTGCGCAGAAATGCACGGAACCTACAACTGCTAGCTGATAGTAAAAGTAGGTGACGACAGTTAGAGGTGAACGGATATTGGCGCTAGGGGTGAGGGTGCCGGTGGTCAGCGATGGCTTCCATTTTAAGCCTTCAATTACCGGTGGATATCCACGGCGACATAGATGATGTCACCAAATCAAATGGATTGAGATGCAACCAGTGTAACAGGATACAGGTCGGAGCTAACGAGCGTTTATTAGATAGCTCCGGGTATGCGCAGAGGTGCATGGAGTCTGCGATAGTCAGCTGCTTTCAAAAAGTGGTGTTGAAGTAGAGACAAAATACAGATAATAGCGCTTAATAAGAGTATCAGCAGAGAGCAACGGTGTTTAAATTACGCCCATTTAGTTACTAGTAGACACCCTCAATGGCAAGGAAAATAAACGAAAACCAACAAAGGTAGACCTTACAAACAGTGAAACAGAAAAACTTAGAGAGATAATAATTGGCTCATAGCAAGCGCCGTGTATGTGCAACGATGCATGGAGCCTACGACGACTAACTGCTGCCAAAGAGAGTGACGATAGTAAGGCGAGCAACGGATAACGGCGCTAGGGGAGAGAGTTTCAGTGGCCAGCCAAGGCATTCGGCCTAAGCCTTTAGTTACAAGTGAATACCTAGGGTGTGTAGCGTCCGCACGCACGCACACACGCACGCGAAGACGGGACGTGCAAGCTTTGCCGATACAAGGTCACTTGACCTTATCGACTCATCTGAGACTTGAAAAGACACAACAT